GTCACTCTAGCCGTCGACTCATCCCTTAATCGCTTCAATTCATCGAAAATATTGAAATTCAGGGAAAGTTCTGTCATTTGTTTCTCAAAACATTTCTTAACACAAATGCCAATCAATTGCTTCACTAATTGCTCCTTATTTTGTGTCTCTCTGTCGTTGTCTTCACTAATGGATGTCATTGTGGAAGCGATTGAGTGACAAACCTATGGCTCAATGCATTCTCGTCGAGACATTCACACCATTGCAGACATTTGTAAACCTTATTTCGATATCCAATCGAATGCCAGTAAATGCGCTCCAAATTCAAAACTCGTCATCCGATTGGACGAGACGTGAGTTAATGAGAGTGAGTGTGAGTTGTGGGCGGAGTCTAAGCAGAGGTCCAATTATTTGTATTGAGTCTATGGATGTGTTAGAAATTGTCTTCGGATTGAATTGCCATCAAAAGTGTGTTTCGCATCAAATCTCGAACACAAACCACTAATCGTCACAATATTATGCATTTATGGCTCAAAATGAGCACAAAATTATTGCATGCATTCACACATTCCTCATATAAATTACGTCCGGATTTGACGTATTTTACGTTTTTTTAAAAACGTGTTCAGAATTTATCAAAATTTTGTATCAAAAATATCCAAAAGTGGTCACAATTTAGACCGAAATGGTCTCAAACTTATCCTAAAATGCATAATAATGTGTAGGAAAACGGGAAAGTTGCTAACAAGTTGCATTTTTCAAGTTTAATAAAATAGTATCACTCAATTCGAGTTACAATATTGATTATTGCAACTATTTTATGAGATTAATTGATTGCAACATTCAATGAATTGGTCATCTTTTTGTCAGTCTTTGAATAATTAACAACTTTTATAAGCATTATATAACTCATTGAATGGTTTCCATAATAATGTGATGGAAAGCAGTAAAAAAATAAAATTATTTTTACATGATTTTGCATAGAATTACTATTAAGCGAATCGATATTACTTTATCCGAACTCGAAATTAATTATTTTAGAATTTTAAAATTCGTAATAGTTTGGAAAGAGTTCGTATTTATTAATTTAACTATATTTCTCGTATATTAAATGAATTGCTGTATACAAGTAAATAATAATATTGTAACGATTATAGCGCTTGTGATAATCATTTTGCGGATCAGAATTTTGATTAATTCTAAATTCATTTCAACACTTCTTATTGTATTTTGTGTTCAATAATGATATGATTGCACATCAATTAGCCCTCACTTCCCCTCTCCTGGAGATGACAACTATTGTGTTAAGTTTGCGGGAAATGTGTCCACACATAGAGTGATGACATTTTGGCAAAACTATTACAAAATAGAATATCATTTTAACGGAATATATTCTCAAACCATTATTAATAAACTAATTGTTAATAATTATGATAAAATATTTCTGACCACAAGGATTAGACGGCAATTCGATGGGTTAACTACAATTCGAGAAATGCACCAAAATTTTCAATGTTAGCAAATTTTCAAATTGTTAGTAAATTTTAAACTTTAAATATTTTAACAACAATTAGTTTTTAAATGTAAGACATGTTTAAAATTTCTTCGTAGAAAAAGAATGATCCCATTAAACTAAAATTACTCCCATAGAGTTAACATTATTCAAAATGTCAACATTGCCATAGATTCAACATTAGCCTCATGGTCAACATTGGCCACTTGGCCTGTAAATATATATGTCTGTATACCATTAAACTCGGTTTAGACTCTAAACTTTAGTGTACTTAAATTTTATAACAAAAATTCCCGATTGCCCCTTGAGCATTTTTAACCACAATTCAGTATAATGTGGTTAATGTTCAGTAGAATGTGAATAATGTGGTTTATAGGATCGTTCGGCCCCCTCCCCCCACCCTATGGGATTTAACATGGGAGTACAGCTTAAGTCTATGGCTATACTTTAACATGGGATTCTTGAGTCTATAGGGAATTAATATGGGATTACAGCATAAGTCTATGGCTATACTTTAACATAGTGAAGCAATTGATTGGCATTTGTGTTAAGAAATGTTTTGAGAAACAAATGACAGAACTTTCCCTGAATTTCAATATTTTCGATGAATTGAAGCGATTAAGGGATGAGTCGACGGCTAGAGTGACAACATTTGCCTCCACTCGACCCAACACTGCGTCCAAAGAGACTCAAGTGAATACCAGTTCCAGAGGTCTGTCAGAGGGCTCTTGGAATGACTACTCACTGAAGGTCACCACTCATACCACACACACCACCCAACTGTGCAATGGATCCGCTGTGAAGTCACTTCACACGCCGGTCATCAAACAGTCACGTGATCTCATGACTAATGGTGTGAAGCAATGTGTGACCAATGGTTTGCCTCCAAAACTCAATGGTTTTGACAAACATTTGGTTAACAATTGTTTGGACGCAAAGAAGAGTGTGAAGAGTGAGACAATTGTCACTAATGGAGCCATACATAAGATGAGTGCTGTATTGGGTGTGAGTTGTGGTGCGAAACGCAATCATATGAACACTCTATCGACGAAATGTGTTGAACCAGAAGTGGTTACCATTGATAGTGACGACAGCGACGGCGACCACGACTGCGAACCCCAATCCAAGATCGCTAAACAATGACAACACTTGACCACAGATTCTCTCATCAATTATAGACCAATGCTTTCCATATATTCAATGAATGGTTGCATAACTCACGCATTCATTCACATTATTATTCATTATATTATTATTCACTTGTATTTAAGACATGTTTTTTATAAATCCAATAAATTTAACATTTTTACTGTAAATATTGAATGTTAAATAAAGTAAATACACTGTTATTAGAACAAGGTTTAAAATCAATAATTATGTTCACTGCGATACCACGACAGCGATTCCAGATTACTATAAAAGCTCATATTGAAGGGTGAAATATTTGGTTGGTTCATTATGTATAAAATACCTAGGTTGTTTTGTTAACATAATTGTTGACCTTAATTTAGGGCTTATAAGCGGCGTATATTAAAAATTGGAAAAATAATTTTTTATAACTTGTAATAATACAGTAAATCATTAATTAGAGTCCATGTTATAACTTATAATCATTAATGATATTTTAGTGTTAATTGTGATCTAAAATACAAAATATTGTTAATAATAAGCTAGCCTACTAAATGCAAGTGATGTTATCAAATTAGCCACAAGGAATTTATTTTATATAAAATAAATGTAATATTATACTCTTTACTGAGTCTACAGAATGAATGTAATGATATACTTGATGTGCCACTGGTTTGGCGGAAGTGACCACTTTTATCGGCAAATATTCAAAAAATGTCGATATAAGTCAAGTGTATTTTATAAATAAGTATATCATATAACAGGATAATAGGAGAAAGTTGTATTGACTCATCTCTATATTCATTCAACCAATGCATTAAACGATTCTTAACATTCAATATACAGTGAAACTTCTGTGCTATGAACCTTCTATGCTGTGAACTACTCTATGTTATGAACCATAAACCAAAATCTACACCACATAGACTTAATGTTAAAACAACCTCCATGTTGTGAACAACTCTTTGTTATGAACCAAAAGTACTGGACCCGATCTATTCACAACACAGAGTTCCCATATCAACTAATAGTCTAATGGAGTTTTTATATATTAATAATTAATCAGTGCATTGAATGATAAATACTATTTGTATATTAAATTTATATGATACGTTTATTGATTAACATGTTATTATAACAATTTACCAAAGTGAAACATAAATCACGTTTAAGTTTTACCATAACATGAATTATGGTTTAAAAAATGACCGGCATTAAATATATTTTTCCTCAGGGAATATTCCTAGTGGAAATATGCCCGGCACGTGTTCACCCAAAAAGCTCACACACCAGATGGCGTAAGTTGTATAGTGTGTCAACCCCCCCCCCATTTTGCCCCAATTCGATCCCCAAATTATATGCCCGGTAGGGCATAAAATATGTATTCCCAATTTTCCCAGGGAATATGCCTAGTAATATGCCCAATGGGAATATTCCTAGTAGGCATTTTCAACCGTAACATGAATAGTGTATTTATAGACCTAGACGTTTCATATCACGTTAAAATTAGACGTGATTTATGATTAACCGTGGTAATTTGTAAAAATAATCATTTAGAACGTATAAAACCAATAAATTACGTTAAACAATTTACCCCCAAATTTGCTCCAGTGACACGTCTAGACTATTGGTATAAACACTAAAGCAATTTCTTGTACATTAAAATAATATTTTAAATTAAATTATTTACTATAATTTGTATATCTAACAAAATGGCCATATGTTTACAATATTGTAACCTTATTAATAATTACATTTTTATGCTTTTGTATTATATTTGTGACAAATTGTGAAAAAATATTTACAAAATATATTTACAATAATAATAATATATTTAGTTCAATATATAGTTCAATAATTATAACCATTTGATCACTAATTAGGGTTAATAATAGTTAGGTTTAGGAAACTTCAATATGAATGCGATATTTGAGTGAAAGTGTATTATTGGACGTAATTTGAGTGCTTTTGAGGAGTATTATTAGTGGGACTGAGAGCTGAACTGAACCCTAACTGACAGTATTGTTTTACCCTAACTGACAATAACTGTTGTTTTGAAAACATGTGATGTAATGGTTGTGACACTACTCTAGCATTGCATTCATTGGCAGTCATTCACAACATTTGTCATGGATTTACAAAACATGGATTTCTTAAGCAAATTGGGACACAATGTCGGCAATGAAGACATTGAAGACACCGATGAGGACGAGGACCAGTTGGACGACGAATTGAATGCCATCTTAAGTGGCAAAACATATGTACCGAAGAATAAACAGACGACCACTTCATCGGCGGTCAACACTAAACGCGTCAAACAAATGGATTCAAAACAGACTAAAAGTTACAACACATCCAACACTCGCCACAAATCCTCTCAAAACACCAATCAATGTATGATTTGTTTAATTAAATTGAATTTTAACACAATTTATCATTAAATGTGTATTTCAGTGATCGGTGCCAACGGTTCCAACGATTTACTAAATATTGATAAATTGGGAATTATTGAAGACTTTGATGACAACGACTCAGACATCGATGAAAATGACGAACAATTTTTGGTATTTATTTATTTGTTATTAGTTTTTATAAAAAGTATCAAAAAATGATTTCTGCTTTCANATTTGTTATTAGTTTTTATAAAAAGTATCAAAAAATGATTTCTGCTTTCAGTCGGAAATTAATTCCATTGTTTCGGAGGACACGTCTTCGGCAAAGAATAAATCGCCGAATAAAAGTGAATATAAAATTCGACAACCAATCGATTCCCGAATACCAGAAATAAATACTATACGAATGCAGACATCAATTAATCCACAAATAGTGGACAAAACACCCAAAACTTATCCGACAAATAGTGTCGAAAGTGGTTCAAAAACTGAAGCGATTGGAAGTGCGATCAGTGCAGACATCGCTTCCAACCAATCGAAACAAACTGACGATAAAAATACTGTTTTGAAATTAAATACACTTAAAGATGACTACAAAAGGGCTGCTCTCGTGGCCAAAAAGGCAGGACAAGCGACCACTGCTTTATCGCACATTAAAACAGCAAAGGTTTTAAATTTACCTTTTGATTAGATTTCGCATATATTTACAAATTTCTATTATTGATAGCAAATCGAAGTTCTAATTAATGCTGTAGAAGAAGGAAAAGCCGTTGATTTGTCTCATTTGCCGCCTCCGCCCACAGCCCTCCCATCGCCGACCCCTTCAACTGGCACTT